ATCAATATGCTTGCAGCAAACTTCTAAATGAATCCAATTTCAGTGGCCAATTCCCCCCCACTCTTTTTTTTTTTTTTTCCAAGTTCTGTGTGCTGACCTTCAGTGAGTAAGCACTAAAAAGTGCTTACTTTATAGCTTAGCATAAACCCAGAAAATTTGTATACAAAGGTGTTGTCGATCTTTCAACTATGGATATCTTTCTTGCTTACAGACTCTGTATATAAGCATGTGGTTTCTTTAACTTAAGACACAACCACACAATCTCTGAATCACAATCCATCTCTATATCTCTTCTGTCTCTCCATCTACATCTTCTGTCTCTAGGACAACAGTGACAGAAACTGGAATGCATCTACAAAGAGATGTTTCCCACTCAAACTGGAATCTATGGGCTTCACTTGGAATGTCACTTCACTGATCTCCTGTAGGAAGACGCGTTAGGTAGCATTTCTGTCATTTTCTTTAGGGTACTAGTATTCTTTGCTGTTGATATTCAGGATCAGCTTCTGGAACATACTCATTTTGGTAAAGCTAAGCTTAGTTTTAAGATAACGTTTGAAAATGTTTGCCCCCAGCATGGTTGTTCCTGCCTAGAAAATGTTTGCACTGATAACCACAAGACCTTATGTGCATAGGAGTTCACCTGGATGGGTGGACACCTGGATGGGGATGGTAGGGCAGAGAAGAGCTGTTTTATTTTTACAAATTCAATCTTCCTCTGGAAAACTGAGGAATCCAAAGGCATGCAGTCTTCCTTGGGAAAGCTAGGCCAAGTAAAATGAAATCAGATCATTTGTCTAGGGAGAAAAGAGAGCTATTGCGTTCTTTAGGATAAAAATATTTTATTCAGACTTTAAAACTGCCAGATATCTAGACTCCTAGTTCTCTTTTTTATTCCTCCAGTAGCAATTTAAAAGTAAAAACTCCTGGAGCATTATCTTATCATTTTGCATCTTTCATATTAAGCAGTTTGCAGGGGGGTTGGTAGGGGTGGAGGGTAAATATTAATGTCCCAGAGTAAAAAAAATAATAATAACAATGAAAACCCACCAGCTGCTCCTCGGAAACCCTATACAGTCTATGAGTCTGACCTGACTCCAAGGAGCTCAACAACAACCATGTTGATATTGTGTGTCTAGCATTGCTTGCCAGCACTTTACTAACCAGTGTGATTGTCACAACACTGTTATGAGGTTGGTGTGAAGGAGGTGCTGTCATTATCTTTATTTTCCATATGGAGAAACTGAGCATAGAGAGGATAAGATATTTTCCCAAGATCTCCTAGTACTTGACAACTGTTGTTGTTAATGCTTCAGACTGCAAAGCCCTTTGAATTGCAAGGTCGGTGGTTCAAGCTCACCAGTCGCTCCTAGGAAAGCCTATACAGGGTTGCTATGGGTCAGAACTGACCTGATGGCACTTAACAACAATAAACCTTTATGCGGACTCCTCATGTGGCACTGGCAAGGTCTGTTTGAACCACAAGGTCTGCGTTGGACTGCAAGGTTTGTTTGAACCACAAGGTAGGCAGTTTAAGCTCACCAGTTGCTCCTTGGAAACCCTATACAAAGTCACTATGGGTCAGAACCGACTCAGCGGCACTTAACAACAACAACAAAACCCTTGTGAGAACTGATGACTAAGTGTATCAATCTACTAGCAATTGAACAGGAGACTATTTCTTCAGATCCCTCAGTAAGGATTTCCTTGTCCAGCTAAATATGCTGCAATTATAGTATTTCCTTCCCAGTCCACCCTTTCTCTCACATATTATATGTGCTGAGTGCCACATGATTTTCACATACCACATATACATAATTTTGCATATCAGCACCCTCTGATGATTCAGATCATGCTGTTTGTGTCTGCCACACATTCCTTCTCCCCTCCCCCCATGGGTTTTTTTCCCCCATTAGGCAAATGGCAGGCCCATGCCACCTGTTAGCATTACATCATTGGCTCCCCAGAACACAGTTGCACCAAAGGCCTTAAACAAAGTAGTTCTTCTTGTATTGTTTGCACTCAAAGAGCTGATATCATGCCAACTGATGTCATTGTATGTCTTTGTGTAACTGCTATGGCAACTGGGCAGGTGGGGAGCCTCCAGCTGATGTCATTGGGGAAGGAGGTGTAGAGACAGAATTTTAAGAAGCTGAATGCAGCTTTTTCTGTGTGTGTGGTTTTCTGGCATGCTTTTCTTTTTCTTTTATTTTTTTACTAGCTGCTTTTAATACAAACTACAGCTTTAATACCCTAAATAAGAACAGAAAAGGTTTTTTTTTTTGACCCCTTAAAAGACTTTGTTTGTTTTTTCTTCTTCCCCCTTATATGGTGAAGTGTAACAACTGCAATTTTTCCTAAGGAAAAAAAAAGTAAATTAACTTTCCATCACAGAATTTGTGTGTCTTTGTAGGATAGTTTACTTGTACTTTGTGGAGGCAAAGCTGAGAAGATTAAAATACAAAAAAACACAAAAACTCTTTAGAGTCCCAGAGACCCTTTTATGGAAACCGTGGTGGTGAGAGAGGGTTTTGTTTTGTTTCATTTTAAAGTAGTCTCTGGTAAAGTTTTTTTAGTTTTCCTTTTTTTCTTTTTCCTTTCAACTTTAAAAATGATTTCTTTGAACCTACCTCATTGAAGAATAAGCAATAAAGGGACAGAATTTAATTCTAGAGTCTATTAAAATGAGTATGTAGTTCTGTTATTTTGGTTTTCATGATCAAAGATAGATTTTTGACTGCACTGATGTATACAAGGACCACAGTGATATGCTTTTGAATTTACTTTAGATCATCAGTGCGCCTCATGAACATGATTCTGTGTCCCTGGGTTGTGAACAGTTAAGAGGCTCAGTGTAAGTTTCAGTACAGAGCTTCCTGCTGTGGTTACTAAAGATGAGACATGAAATGGAGAAGACATAGGTTAGATTCAGAAGTGAGTGAGCAGTTAGACTTCCTGTCCTTGTTTCAACATAACCGTATCCTGTTCACACTTACAGTTCCTGCTTTAACTTGTGGAACTATCAAGACAAATATGAAGCATCTGACTGTCTTTGGGTTTTAATGTTTTGTTCTGGTGGCTTTCACTCACTTATGGTTTTCCAATTTTGCCTCTTTTCCACAGGGAAGGCTTTATTTTATCTAATTTTATAAGATCCAAATTAGAGCTCATGTAGAGGTAAAAATGCCAACCCAGTTTCTTCATCATTAAATGCAAAGTGTATAATTTAAGACTCCTAGGATAAGCACTGGACTGCTAGCCACAGGGTTAGCAGTTCAAACAAGAAACTAAGATCTATACATTTTCTAACCGAATTATTCTTTTCTTGTACCACATAGTCCTATAGCCTTTGATTACTGTATGGTGGGTGTTTTGGAATGGTCTTCTTTCACTTCATATTGAGCAAGCATTTTCTTTGTTTTCATTTAATTTTCCAAACCACTCTTTTAATGGCTATATAATATTCCATTGAATGGGTGTAATATTTATTTTGTGTTTTCTTCTTGTCATGCATTTGACCTTTTCAATAAAATGTTGTTGTTTAGTGCTGTCAAGTCACTTCCAACCAAATATAGGAATACCAAAGAGTGGCTGGTAAGCTTGAACCACCAACCTTGTGGTTCAAGCCAACTTTGCAGTCCAGCACATTAACCCACAGTGCCATACCAGGACACCTTTCCATAAATTAGATAATGTTTTATATATAGATAGATAGATGTTGTTGTGTTGTGAAGTGCCATTGAGTTGGTTCTGACCCATAGTGACCCTGTATAGAGTTTCCAAGGAGCAGCTGGTGAGCTTGAACTGCCAACCTTGCAGTTCAAACGGCTTTGCAGTCTGGTGCATTAACCCACAATGCCACACAAGTATATATGTATGTATGTGTATTAAAAAATGCTGTTGTTAAGTGCCATCGAGTCGGTTCCAACCCATAGCGACCCTGAACAGGGTTTCCGAGGCCATAAATATATATATAAAGGTAGACACTATATAGATAAAGGGTAATTCTCTTTATACATCTAGCTGCATATATCTTTGGTTAGATTGTATTTTCTTAAGACAGAACCCCATAAATGAAACTGCTGTTATTAGGAGATTTGCCTTTTTAAAAATAAAAATAGAGAACCAGGCTCACTTCAAGCTTTTACAGTACACCCATAACTCTCAGGAGGCAGAGCCAAGCCTTAAGGTCAAAGCTGTGTCTTCATTGGATCCTTTAGAGATTTCCTGATGGATCTATGTATGCATAGACTTTCTCAGAAAGTCGGGTACCAGGGACTGGGCTCCTCTCAGATGAAGTCAGTGTTGACAATGCCATGCGGAATGTCAAAATAACTCATACTCCCTGAGAATATACTAGGTGCCAGGCAACGTGTTAAGTACTTTATGTGTAGCCATTCGTTGTAGACGCACAATCATTCTAAGGGGTAGATATCATTACTCTCATTTTACAGATGGAGGAACTGAGGTGCAGAGAGAAAAATTAACTTGCCAAGTCAAGAAACCAAGAAGTGGGGGAGCTAGGGTCAGAGCCAAGGTCGTATGAGTCCTTTGTGGTTCTCTGCTCCCAATCACTTTTGTATCAGGAACAAATGTGTTATTCTCAGTGGAGTGAGCTTATGGAGAGGTTCTCCATGGACGAGTCCTCCACCAGCAAGATCTCCCATGCCTTTCTTGGTTTCCAAAGTGCAGTGCCTTCTAGATGCCACTGAGCATGTGACTCTTTGAGGCTGATAAAATTTGCTGCTGATAACATTGCCTGATGCTCATGGAACACTTTCCAGAAGAACATGCCCCAGTTTGTAAAAAGAGCACATCTTCTACCAAAGCACCATATACATAATGTCCTGGATCTCCAAATGAACTTTCATTTTTGTTTTGTGTATGCTTAAAAATACAGAGAGCGACCACACAGCCTCATTCCTATGGGGAAGGTGACATTTTCTGCCAGTTCTGAAGTCTGAGGGGTAATCATTTCTTTTCCTGTGTTTTTGTTCCAGGTGGTCTTAGTAGTTTTAAGCAGAACCATGAAAACCTCTGTGACAACTCCCTCCAGCTCCAAGAGTGCCAGGAGGTTGGGGGTGGTGCATCTGCGGCCTCGAGCATACTACCTCAGCCCATCCCCACCACCCCTGACATCGAGAATGCAGAGCTGACCCCCATCCTGCCCTTCCTGTTTCTTGGCAACGAGCAGAATGCTCAGGACCTGGACACGATGCAGCGGCTGAACATTGGCTACGTCATCAACGTCACCACTCACCTTCCCCTCTACCACTATGAAAAAGGCCTGTTCAACTACAAGAGGCTGCCCGCCACAGACAGCAACAAGCAGAACTTGCGGCAGTACTTTGAAGAGGCTTTTGAGTTCATTGGTAACTATCTCCTGTGGGGAACTCGCATCCTCCGTCTTCCTTTCCCTCAGGCTTGTGCTTTGATATCGAGTCCAAGGTTTCTTCCTGTGTTGCAGAAAAGCTGCTCCGAGATGCTTTGCCACCTGATAAGCCAGCGTGTTCTCCTAAGTCATAGGCAGTCAGGTGTGCCTGAGCCGTCTGGTTGTGTTTAAGGAAAAAGCAATTCAATTGAATTAGGATCAGTTCAACTAGAAGTTTCCAGTCTTAAAGTTCCCAATGAAAAATTGGTAAGAGTAAGTATTTAGATGGGGCCTTATAGTGTGGCATTGTAGGATAAACACTGGAAGTTAGCTACAAGGTTGGCAATTTAAATCTTATACAGGATCACTGAGAGTCAGACGGAATTGAAAGCACTTAAGAACAACATGTAGAGTAAGGTCTCCTGTGTGGCACTGTAGGATAGGCACTGGACTGTTAAACTTAAGGTCCGTGGTTCAAATCCATCAGCCTCTCCTTGGAAAACCCTATACAGGGTTGCTGTAAGTAGAACCAACTCGATGGCACTCAACAATAATATAGAGTGAAAAATTGGGAGACCAGAATAGGTATTCCTGCTACACAGCCTACTAGGGCCCCTGAGTTCCTTGCAGAAAATAAAATATAGTGGATCTCTATGACACTAGGAACTCTGGTGGTACAGTGGTTAAAGCTAACCACAAGGTCAGCAGTTCGAACTCATTAGCCACTCTGAGGAAGAAAGATGTCACAGTCTGCTTCCATAGCCTTGGAAGTCCAATAAGTCAGTTCTACTGTGTGTTCTAGGGTCAAGGGTCATTATGAGTCAGAATTGACTTGATGGCTATGGGGTAAGTTTGTCTGTGACACCACCGCCCCACAAGCTCTTATCCTACTAAGCCTTCCTCATTTTGCATAGCCATAGGCAGTGTTTCAATTTCCTAACCTTGTGTAAAGCTCACTTGGAATTTGCATAGCCTCTTTACATGAGATTGAGGCAAAGGTAATGTTGGCTGAAGGGTGGTTCTGAGAAAACATTTCAGGATAGTCAGTGCTTAGGTAGGGAGAGAAGAGTAGAGGGTTGAGTTGATTGTCCCTCTAACATCTTTGTCTTAGTTCTTGAATATTGGGTAGCAAGAAACATTACTGCTAATGAGATGGTACTGAATTTCCATAGATCATTTATCCAAAGCTCACTGAAGTAGGAAGATCAGGTTGTATAGCTCAAATAGTCCCCAGGAAGGAATATCCTAGTCACCAACCAACTAACCAATTCCACCTAATGATGACCCATATGTGTCAGAGCAAAACTGTGCTGTGTACGGTTTTCAGTGGCTGCTTCTCTTTTTCTTTTTTGAAGTAGAATAGCCAGGGGCCTTTCGTCTAAGAAATTTCTAGGTAAACTCAAAACTCTGACCTTTTGGTTAACAACAAAGTTGGTTAACCACCAAAGAATTGCACAGCAGGCTTAACCTCCAGAAGCATGTGACAAATAGCCTAACCCTATCAGGGTCTCTTCTGAGTCAGAACTGATTCCACATACTTTACAACAATCCTAACCTTAACTTCTATTTCTTCTTTAGCCCTGAACTGTTGTAAGACTCAAATTGCTATTTGCGGAACTCCTGGTATATAGCAGACACTCAAAGTTTTTTTCAAGTAACACCAATATTTTTTTTGAAACCCATACCACTGTGGCCCAGTACTTCTTCTAAATGTTGCTTCAGGTTGTTCCTAATCTTTGTTCCAGGAAGAAAACACTAATGTGGTTTGAACCCACCAGTTACTTGTGGGATAAAAATGTGACCATCTGCTTATGAACAGCCTTGGAAACTCTATGGGGCAGTTCGCTGTCCTGTAGTATTACTATGAATCTGAATTGACTCGCCCACAATGGGTTTTGTCAGAAAAAAAGCCCCAGGTTTAATTGCCATTGAACCTAGTGGATTTGCTGTAGAGTTCACAGCTCTGGTCACATTACCCAGCTGTTTTCCTTGTTGGTTGTATCTCAAACTCATTAAACTCAGGGTCATGGGCTGTTTCATCTGGAAGGAGATATGGTGGCTTTATATGATAAACCACTGTGGTTCAAGTCCACCCCTCAGTGGGAGAAAGATGAGGCTTTCTGCTCACTCAAAGATTTAAAACCTCAGAAACTGTGTACAGGGTCGGTATGAGTCAGAACCAACTGAATAGCACTTAACAACGACAACAACAGCAAGGTCATAGGAATTCTGGCATCAGAAAAAGGGATCAGAAACCAAGGCTTTGGACTCTACGCCAGGAAGTTTTCTACAATACCCTGGTGCAGTGTTTACAATGTTATATTAGTTTACAACTGACAACACTTGCGGATGCAGAGGTATTACAGATTCTTTATTAATAGTATCTAAGCTAAATTGTAAGGAGCTCTGATAGTGTTGTGGATTATGTGTCGGGCTACTAACCGCAAGGTCAGCAGTTTGAATCTACCATGTGCTCTACAGGAGAATGATGAGACTTTCTGCTTGCTGATGACTTACAAAGGAGCTCTGGTAGCGTAGGGGTTACGAATCGGGCTGCAAACCTTAAGGTCATTTGTTCAAAACTACCAGCCGCTCCGCGGGAGAAAGATAAGGCTTTCTAGTCCAGTAAAGATTTACACCCTCGGAAACCCTATACAGGGTTGCTATGGGTCAGAACTGACTCGGTGGCACTTAACAACAATGACTTACAGCCTCCAAAACCCTATACAAGGTCTCTATGAGTCAGACGGCACACAACCACCAACCACCACCAAGCAAACTTTGAGGCCCTAAGGAAGAAATATTTGTTCAAGTAGATAAAAAAACTTCCTGGTTGGTATATGATTTCTGGCCATCATTTCATCTGACTTAATTCCAGTTGAGAGATGTTAGGAAGTTGTTTTCCATGTAATGAGTACTATAAGCCATGCTTGCTTTAAGAGGATTTCAAGCAAATCACCGACATTCCTTGTACATTATTCAGGCTTGCTTCCCTGCTGGTTTAGAAGGAAAAAAAAAACAAAACAACAGAGTGTAGCCTCAATAACAATTCAGAATCACAATCTGCCTAGGTACAATGATAGTTTCCTTATTATACATTGGATAAACTGAAACCTTACAGTCTTGATTTAGGGAAAATGTAGCAGATCTTATAAATATGATAACTTTTATGAAGAGTCTAATATAAACTATTCAGAATCTACTTTAGGCTTTAATGATGCCAGTTTATTCATTCCTGGATCTAGTAGTATTATTTCCATTGTTGTTGTTGTTGTTGTTAAGTTCTGTCAAGTCAGTTCTGACCCATAGCGCCCCTGTAGAGGGTTTCAGAGGAGTAGCTGGTGAGCTTGAACAGCGCTGACTTGCGGTTCAAACTGGCTTTGCAGTCCAGTGCATAACCCACAGCTCCACTCTAGGACTCCATTATTTTACATAGTTAGCTAGTTTTATTCCCATTGTTCAGACAGGAGGATGGAGCCTCTGGGTAGTTTCCTGACTCACACAGTTCAATCATGAGATAAACCTAGCACTTTGCCGCTCACACAAGACTTCCTCTTACCTTCCTACCTTACCTACTCATGCCTTAAGAAACAGTGTGTGCTGAAGAGAAGAATTTGAAAACAGGAAATAACCTTATTTCTTGAAATACTGCTGTGGCACTGTGGGTTAATGCGCCAGACTGCAAAGCCATTTGAAGTGCAAAGTCGGAGGTTCAAGCTCACCAGCTGCTCCCTTTACAACAACGACATAAGATGTCTGCCTCATCTATAGATATATAGGATGAAAAGTTGCATCGTGTTTCTTTTTTTGTGTGTGTCTGTTGGTGTTGTTGTTAAGTACCGTGGAGTTGATTCCGACTCACAGTGACCCTGTACAGGGTTTCCGAGGCTGTAAATCTTTACGGGAGCAGGAAGCCTCATCTTTCTTCCACAGACCAGCTGGTAGTTTCAAACTGCGACCTTGAGATTAGCAGCCCGATTCGTAAACACTATGCTACCAGAGCTCCTTGTATGTGTCTGTTGGTAGATCGCCAATAAAAGCATCATTTGTTAACAGCAATCTACTTTATCTGTGATGGCAGCCAACTGAAACTACATCTACAGTGCAATTAATTTACATGTTAAGCAAGTTACTGATTACCTAAGACCCTAATAGCCATGGTGTGGCTATTATTAGGTTAATACTTATTAGGTTAATACTCTCCTCTCCTCAACTCCTTCCCCCCATTTCTCTTTCCTGCCTCTTCATCTGATTGGCATTCATTCAGGTAGCTTTCTATGGGATGCATTGAGTCTAAAAGAATCAGTAAAGCTCTGTTCAGATAGTGCCCACAAGCTGTTCGCCTGAGCTTTTAATATGTCTAAAAACTTCTAAAGTAGTGCCTCTTTCCATTGCTCTGGATCCTGAGCCATGACTGGACTTCTCCCATCAGCCACATCGTTGTCATGTTGGAACCACAGGCCTGCCATGGGAAGGTGGCTGAACAGTTAAGATGTATGGGCATGCAGTGCCTGTGTACTACAAGACTTTGCATCCGTTGGGTTTCCTGGTGAGAAGCTGAACATAACATTTCTAGTTGAGTTTGGTTCCTTAACCTTGGTCAAATTTCACTCAAGACTGAAATTCAGAATCATTTAATACCAGTTCCTGTATAGAACAATTATGTAGTACAAAGAAAGAAATGGTATCTTTTCCATCAAATGGGAGACCTGTTAATAACACTAGTTTTGGTAAGTCATAGAACTTACTTGGTGATTTAAATCAACATACTTTATTAGAAGAAGAGCCATATACTGAGTATGTGTATTGTATGATGTGTGTAATGTTTTCCTCCTTCCTCTTGCTCTCCCTTCTTCCCTGTCTTCTTCGCTGTCTTCTAGGAGTATGATTTTTTTTTTTTTAAAAAAAAGGAACAAACTGTTTGAGAGCGGCTGAGTAACTAATGGTGTTGTTGTTGTTGTTGTTGTTAGCTACTGTTGAACCAACCATGACTCAAAGCTATTAAATCCCACTGCCGTGGAATCAGTTCCAAATTTGACTCATAGTAACCCTAGATGACAGAGGAGGACTGCCCTATAGGGTTTCCAAGGTGTAATCTGTAGGAATCATACTGCCTCATCTTTCTCCCACAGGGCAGCAGGTGGGTTCATACTGCTGACCTTGTGGTTATTAGCCTAGCAATTAACCATTATGCCACCACAACTTTTATTAAGTGCCACCAAGTCGATTCAGATACATGAGGACCCTATATAGGGTTTCAGAGGAGTGTTTGGTGGATGGTTAACAATCCAATGCTTATCCTACAGTGCTATACACCAGGACTACTTCATGGCTATTGTTGTTGTTGTTAAGTGCTTTGGAGCCCGTTCTGACTCATAGCCACCCAGAATATGATTTCCAAGAAGCTGCTAGTGGGTTTGAACCACCAACCTTGTAGTTATCAGTTCAGTCCTTATCCTACAGTGAGTGCCACACCAGGACCCCATGGCTACTGTTGTTATTAAGTGCTGTCGAGTCGGTTCTGACCCATAGGGTGTCCAAGGAGCAGCTGGTGAGCTTGAATCACCGGCCTTACAGTTCAAATGACTTTTGCAGTCCGGCACATTGATCCACAGTGCCACACCATGGCTATTAGGGTCTTAGTTAATCAGTAACTTGCTTAACGTGTAAATTAATGGCTTTGTAGATCTAGCTTCTGTTGGCTGCCATCATGGATAAAGTAGATTGCTATTAACAAGTGATTCTTTTACCTAGGCTTCTCTTTCAATGTAGAAAAAGTAGAAATGTAGGTTCTTATTCAGGCTAATACTCATTTTTAACCTGTAATGGAGATTGTGAAATGAACGTATAAAACTAACTGGTAAATTATACTTGTTTAACAACAACAAAAATATTTTAATGTAATATTTCTCTACATAATATGATATTACCAGATCTCAAAACAAGTAAATCTCTGTCCTTCCATCTCACTCCCTCCTTCCCTTCCCATCTTGCCTGTCTTGCCTTCTCCAGAGGAAGCTCACCAGTGTGGAAAGGGGCTGCTCATCCATTGCCAGGCTGGGGTTTCCCGCTCTGCCACCATCGTCATCGCGTACTTGATGAAGCACACCCGGATGACCATGACTGATGCTTACAAGTTTGTCAAAGGCAAACGACCAATTATTTCCCCAAACCTTAACTTCATGGGGCAGTTGCTGGAGTTTGAGGAAGACCTAAACAATGGCGTGACACCACGAATCCTTACACCAAAGTTGATGGGCGTGGAGACGGTTGTGTGACAACAGCCCAGGAGAGGATTCCAGTTCTTCATTAGGAGACGAAGAGAAAGGAGGGCTGATTTTCTTTCTTTTCTGTTCTGTTCTTTTTGAAATTGGGGGTAAAGAAACTTTTTATTTTTAACAAGTGTGAGAAGAATTTAACTTTTGATGCCAATGGCATCATTATCGATGCCACTGGTGCCAAGATTTACTTCCCACAAACTGACAAAGCAGGGAGGCTAAAGAAGTCATTTTTATTTTTAAGCCAACAATAAAATATATTAAAACTTGGTTTCCCCCACTTTTCTTTAAAGCTATTTGTAGAGTTTGTGACGAAATAGTCTGTGCAGGCTCATAGACCGAAGATGCTACATTTTGGAACAATGACAAAGAACCAAAAGTAAGGAGAAAGGTCTGGGGGTCTGCCTGGGCCATCCTCATAGGAAATAAAACCCAACCAAACCAAGCCCTGTAGTGCTCATTGGTGCAAAGAGAAGATCAGGGCAGCGTTAAGTCGTGTAAGAACTTTTCCTTCACACATTCTTTAAAGAGACAAAGGATGCTGGTGATTTTGTGTGTATCATGCTCTGGATTTTTTTTTTTTTTTCCTTTTTGGTCCCCTCTCTAGGTTTAAGAGTTTGTTTGTTTGTGTTTTTGTTTTTTTTTTTTTAAATAGCAAACACCTGACCATTATACCATATGCCTCTTCTGGCTTCTTGTGCAATAATAAGGTATTCTGAGTGCGCAAACAAGTTTGCGCTGGCAGCCTAAGAATAGACAAATAGTGCAAATTTGCCAGCTTGGAGATAACAAGGAATTAAAACAAATTATTTTCCTTCCCATCTTTTATTTTTGTTCTTTTTTTTTTTTCTTTTTCTTTGGATTTGACTCTGGTTATAGTGCCATAAACCTTGTTACATATGTCTATCAGAATGTAAAAAAAAAAAAAAAAAAAGACAAAAATTTATTTAAAAATATTTTTCGCATAAAAACTTTGTGTGATTCTGTTGATTGTGTAAAAATTTATTTTCATTATATAAATGAAATTCATTTTGGGATGTGTCTCTCTCTCCCTTCCCCTTGCTGCTTTTCCTTCTCTCTACTTCATCTTTAAAAATCAGTAACGGGTTGGTTAGCTGTAAACATAACACAACTGGGAATAAAACACACCCCTATGGGAAAGGGATATGAGGCAGGGAAATAATCTATGATCTGGCAAGGAAGTAATCTATGAAGTGGCAAGTAATCTATGAATTGGCAAGTAATCTATGAATTGGCAAGGAAGTAAAGAACTTTAGGATTGATCTACTCAGTCACTACCCCTTCTAGGTCCCCAAGCCTATCATCCTTTTCTGCAAATGTAGCTCCTCTTTATTTAAAGGTTTAAGCAGGTTTAACCAGCCTTTGAGATTTTTACTGCAAGACTTGTCAATTAGAATTTCAGTCAGCCTTAGTAACTCTTTCGGAATCCTGGTGTGGCACTGTGGATTAATGCGCCAGACTGCAAAGCCCTTTGAACTGCAAGGTGTGGTGGTTCAAGCTCACCAGCCACTCCTCAGAAACCCTATGCAGTGTCACTATGTGTTGGAACCAACTCGACGGCATTTCACAACAACAACAGTGACTATTTCATGGTTACCCTCATTGTCCCTTGCTCACTCGGTGTCTTTGGTAAAATTCAGTCATGTCATGTGCTACAGCAAATTTCTGCTGCCTCCTCTTCTTATAACATACCATTCTCTCCATAAATTATTGTTATTAGACCTAGTCATCTGTTCCAATAAAGATTACAGCCTAGAAAACCCCAAGCAGTAGTTCTACTCTGCCACATGAGGTAGCTATGAGTCAGAATTAACTTGATAGCACCTAAAAACTAACAACCGGGGGACTTGGCTATAGGGAAGTTTCATGGCAAACTCAAATGTGTCTGGGCGAGTAAAACAGTTTAAGAATTCTGACATGTCCAATTCTATATAACTACATTTGGCATAAAATATTTTATGAATATTTCTTTACAAATAATATGAAATACTTTGACATTTCTTTTTAAATATCTTTTCCATGAACTGGTTTAAAATTTTTAGTAGAGAAGTTGTTATTGAATCCACAGGAATTAACATGACACAGCTGCTGAATTACTTTAGTTTAAAAGAAAGTATGAATCCAGCGAAAAGTTAATCTCTCTTGTGCTTTCTGCGCTTTAACCATTACTTTGGTGTTAGGGTATATTTAAGGAATCAAGTTGATAGATGATTAGTCATGATTTGCCAGACATTTCAAATCTTATATTTCTGATAGTACTTAAGGGTTATTCTCTTTTTAGGGTAAAAAAATATATATAAATGGAAGGAGAAACATCAATAGAGTTTCTCTTCTTAAGTTCCATGGGGATGTTTTTGGAAGTTTGTGATTTTGAGAGAAAGTCTGTCCTGGGGCAGACAGGAATCTCGCCAACCAGCATACCAAGAATTCTAAGAGGGTTTCAGGTCTTTTGGACTAATCATCTTTGAGTCACTTCGCCTCCGTTTCTTCATAAGGAATGTTAACCACTACAGGAAAATAATATGGATTAGCCAAGCCATTGCTGTATAAAGCAGACTCCTCAGGTTTCTGGGTCTAGGGCTGAACTGAGAAAACAAACTCTGACTGACCAGCAAGCAGTCTTTTATGCTCAATAATCACAATAATTCAATAGAATGAATCTGTCGTACATCTAACAGGAAAAGATAGAGCAGGAATTGCTACCCTAAGTTTAACAGCAGCTCTGGATCCTCTTGAGCAATTGCAACAATGAATACTTTTCCAATCAATGCATATTAGCCAGGAGATAGAATTCACGTTTTATGGAAAAGCTTGTGCCAGCGCCTTTTAGATTGGGGATGGGCAAGATGGGAGAGGAGGACATAAAGGGAAGTTGACACATGGATGATATCGTCAAAGGGAAATATGAAAGAAGAAATGTACACAGTTCAGAAATCTTATGTTGACAGTAAATGGGGAAATATGACCTTAAAGGGTAAGTAACTGAAAAATGAGAGTGTCTAGAAAAAAATACATATGTGAACTTATACACATATTTTAAGTCTCATCGAGTTGGTTCCAATTCATAGTGAGACTGTATAGGGTTTCTGAGGCTGTAAATCTTTGTAAAAGCAGAAAACCCCATCTTTCTTCCGTGGAACAGCTAATGGGCTTGGACCACTGACTTTGTGGTTTGCAGGCCAGTGCTGATCCTACAGTGCCACACCAGGAGTTCAATATATATATTGTTGTTACGTGCTGTCAAATAAGATACGACTCGTAGTGACCCTGTATAGGGCTTCTAAGGAGTGGCTGGTGAATTTGAACCTCTGACTTTGTGTTTCAAACCAACTTTGTGGTCCAGTGTTTATCCTACATACCCACACCAGGACTCCATACTTGTGGTTAAGTGCCATTGAGTAGGTTCTGACTTAGTGATCCTGTATAGGGTTTCTAAAAGGCAACTCATGCATTTGAATCAATAACCTCGCAGTTGGCAGTCCAATGCCTATCCTGCGATGCCACATCTAGACCCCACCCGCTCACTACCACACACATACAAAGAGGTTTCAGAAGGTTTGTTGAAAAATTCCATTATTTTTTTAATTCCACTTTTTTTTTCCACAAACTTTATGCCCAAGTTAAAAACTAGAACCTGAATTACACTTCACTTCAGAAGGTCACCAAGATAGAATGCTAATAAAGTGCTTGCATCATCAGATCTAGAAGGTAAGAAGTGAGGCAAACCAAACAGAGATCACGCAATAGCAGGCTTTTCCATATTTGGGAACAGCTGTTGTAAATATAAGCCACAACAGATCATGGTCGAAATCTCTGGGCAAATATGTAATAAATATCTCATCTCAGGAAAAAGAGTTGATGTTTTGGGTTCTAAGTTCTGATTGTTGTGAAGTGCCATTGAGTCGGTTCCGACCCATAGCAACCCTGTAAAGGGTTTCTGAGGAGCAGCTGGTGAGCTTGAACTGCCAACCTTGCCGTTCAAATGGCTTTGCAGTCTGGCACATTAACCCACAGCGCCACACCAGGACTCCAAGCTCTGATTAGAGAGTTATATAAGGACTGGGTGGCAAGGAGGTACAAAAAATGCGACATCAACCACTGCTCCCACAGGATTCAGTTGAATTCAATGATTCATTCCAATGGCCAAACAGAACTCAGACACCATAGTCACAGCTATGGGGTTTATTAGGCATGTTATTGGTAAGTGTTGTCTAGTCAGTTCTGACACTCATACCAAAACCAGGGAAGGACATCACTGAAAAAGAAAATGATACATTAATATCTCTCATGAACATAGATGCAAAAATTGTCAACAATATCTAGGCCAATAGAATTCAACAACACATCGAAAAAATAATATATTGTTACAAGTGGGGTTCATACCAGGGGCTCAAGGATAGTTTAATAATAGAGAAACAATGAATGTAATTCACCAGTCATTTCTGACTCATTGCAACCAGGCATTGTGTTTCCAGGGAGCAGCTGGTAAGTTTGAATCACAGACCTTGTGGTTCAAACCAACTTTGAAGTCCTGTGCTTATCCTATAGACCCACGTCAGAAGTCAGATTACAATTCAGAGCCAGAAATGTTCATGGCACAGTTGTTCCAGTCAGGACAGCCTCTCCTGTTCTTCACAAAACACAAAGCTCTTTGAGGGTTGCAGATAAATGCCCATAGGCCATACCAGCTCTAGCTCCATGGGGTCAGCAAACCTAGTTCCCCCAATTAAGTGCTTGGAGGTACTCCATTCTGAAAACAAGCCTCCTGTCCAGAGGCAGTCAGCTTCACTCGCTCCATGAACCATAAGTTTCACTGGTGTTCTTGCTCTTGGTCCTGCTCTTCTCTGCTATTTCTCTGTTTACAGCTTTCTGTCCCTGAGTCGAGGAGGTTCAATATGCAGAATCCCAGGGTCCAAAGGACACTCTCTATTCCTGGCTTTTCTTTCATGGTAGTGAAATCCCTTCCACCTGCTTCTGAG